GAAATGTGAGGAGATAGAGAGAGAAGGGGGAGGACATGCAGCACATGGTCAGGGCCGAGCTCGAACCTGCAACCATGGCGGGGACTGTGGTCCCATACATGGGGCACACTAACCTGCTGGACCATCTGGGCGTTGCAAGATTACCATTTTATTTTACCTGAAGTGACATGATGACCCAGTGTGATGGAACAAAACACAACATGACTGTATGTGAAAATTACTATAAGCCTGCGTGGTTACGTGATGTGACACGCTGCTGTTTTCCTTTTGCCTCTTAACCCATTAAGACCTGAACGCTGTCTGAGCCGCGCCTCTGAAATCCTCAGGGCAATTTTAAGAAGGGCCCCCAGATCCTACGTTTTTCTGAGTGTTGACGTTTACAAAAAAGCTGATATCTCAGTCTCTTTAGCAGATAGAAACAAAATTCAAAAAGTATTTGAGAGCCTACACATGTGGCTTTCAAAATAACTATCTTTTAGTTGTCTGAGCTTTCATCAGATTATTGAAAAAGCTCCCCTAGTATAGTGCCAGTACAAAAGCAGCACTAAAAACTAAATAAATATGTGGCTAACAGTGCGTTCATCTCTGTGCTCACCCAAAGTCATGCAACATTCACAGAAAATGCCGATAGTGTGAGCCAAAGCACTCAGTATGAAGAGGTTGTTCACACTGCTTACAGCCATTGACTGGAAGTCCACCAGCTCTCTCATTTTCAAAGGGAAGTCGACTCTCCCAGCAGGCCTTGCCAAAGTCATGCTTTGGGAGAGTTGTGGCTCCGCTGGCCATTGAAGCTGGAGAAAGAATATCGCTACCTTGGCTAAGGCTGGATGTTTCTCTTCCAAAGCTGCTCTCTGCCTCTGTCATTGTTTACTTTCCTAACAAAGCACGTAGCAAGGTCCGAACATGAATCCGAAAACTTTATTAAGCTTTATTAGCCTATCAGAGGCAGACGGGTATGATGATTTGATTCGTCACAACTCCAGTAATGATTAAAAAACTACAGAGTGTTACAAAATGACGTATCCGTACTCCCAGCTTGAGGAGTAGAAATCATAGACTGTATATAGAATGGAGAGCATCTGCCATCTTGCTGGGTGAAGCCACTCCAGGAACAGCACCCTCTGGTGACGGGCTGCAGTATAGGTCATAAATCTCGCCTCCGCCAGCAAAACTTATGGAGCTGTGGACAAACTTTAGAAATTAATTACACAGAGCATGAATTATACTTTTAAGAGAGAACATTTTTGTTTTCCTAAAACTACCAACTGAACCAACCTTTTGTCCAGTTCACACCCAAGTATTATCTCTCAAATTTTATTCACAGATTCATCCAAAAAGGTGAAACTGAGCTCCTCTCCTCTGCCAAAATGATCTTACCACCTGTCTGGTGTTTCGTATTAACATGCAGATTAAACAGCAGGATTATTTCACAGATGGGGACACCCGAATGTTTTTTCAGATGGAACAATGTCACAGATTTCACAGGTTTTTTTATTAGAGGCATTGGCAGATTTGTGCAAATTTTCCCACCACAGGCCCATGACAATCTTCTCCTGAGCTTTTTCATGTTTTACCAGATTTTTACATGTTGTTTGTAAAATGTCTCATGACCCACCCGTGAAATTTTACCAAAATAAACAGTCAGTTTTCACAACGGCTACAGCAGATTATCAGGGACAGAAAGAAAAATATGTTTGGGTTTTGAGACCAATCAAAATGATGATATTGCTGCATTTAAGTCAATATATTCCAAGAATACAGCTCTGTAATGAGATGAAAATTATTTCATAATGAGAATAAAGTTTTTATGTTTCCAGAAAAAAGGTCTTTAACACATTATGCAGGGGGGATACCACAAGTCTCAGCTTTTTGAACAATCTTTCCAAAATCCTGACACTTTAAGAAATGTGGTCAAGTATTTTGTTTTTGCAATAGCTCCCAAATTTCTCATTTTGGCACAAGCAGCTAGCTGCTCACTGTAAATCATGACTACAAACTTTATCATGACTTTATTCTTGTAACATGGTGACTTTCATCTTATAAATTTACTATTACGTTACTATAACATTATTATACTAGTAACACTTTAACTTCCATTTGACTTGTTCTCGTAACATTACAATTTTATTTCCTGCTGTTAGGATGGTTTTCTTTAGTCAGTCATGTCAGCCCTTAAAGTGGTGGAGCTGTGTCACTCAAATACCTCAGATACTTCAGTGTTAGATTGCTGGAGCCGGGGGCCTCCGACAACCATCCTCAACAAGGACCTTGTACCCATGTTTTACATCACATAGGTTCCCAAAATATGTTCTGTCATGGTATTTCCTTCTATGGACCCTCCATATATTCACCTAAAGCTCCTTAAAATATGTTGTCCTTTGTTCTTACTGTACATGGATTTTTCTAAGGGTCAACTAAATGTCAGCAGTATATTTAGAAACGTGGACAGCTATATACTTGAGCAGTCTCAGACCAATCTTTGTTACACTTTGTTACGCTTTGTTACACTTGTTCCATGATGAAGCTGTAACCCAGATCTGTACCCAGTAAAGCTTGTCAAAATGATCATTCGTGTGGACCTTCCATCTTTTATTAGGTGTGAAAATGGGCTAGGCTACCTTACACCTACCACTTTATTCTCTTATTATTTTGACCTCATTCTTGAAATCATCACAGCCCTGTTGCCAGACAGGTGTCAAGCTCCCAGACAAATAGCGATGCCCAAGAACCAGAGACTGTTATAACTGAATGTAGCATTGGTGATGCCATCCATTTGTTTATAAAGCATTTGCTGATCTTGAAGCCTTGATGACTTTTAAATGAATGTGTTACAAAAACACTCCCTGTACTTTGCTGGGAGCTCTGAGCTACTCACACCAAAACCATCTTCTGAACAAGGCTGCAATCTTGTTTTTTTGGCTCAGTGTGTATGGGGTTTCCTGTGCTTCTGCAGCTAGCCTCTTGTGGACATATGGAGAACTACAGATTTTTAACACTTCAGCATTGACTTAATTTCTCAAGACCTGAGGTTGCAGCTTGGTGGGCACACAATGTCCTTCCATTGTGTATTGTTGTGTAAGTCACACCACCAACTACTGGCCTGGTAAGCACATTGCAGTATTTTCAGTTGTTGCAGATCTGTATGCACATGTATGGTTTTCCCATTGTTCACAAATGAAAAATTCAAGGAGAAGACATATCTGCCTTTCAGGGAGCCACTGTTGTCCAAACGAGGTCTTAATTTAAAAGACCATTAAAGAACTTTTCTCAAATTTAAGTGGCAGACTATGTTTGGGGTTTTGGGGGCAAGTGCGACAGGATCTTTAACGGCCTTGACATGCTTAACATTTTTACCCAGTTTCATTAATGCAGGAGAAAGTAACATGCAGAAAGACTCTTCTAAAAAACTCAACAGCTTTGGAGCTATGTTGCATAATGTGTCAAAGAGACCATTGAAATGTCACTTTTTTTTTGCCTAACCTAGTAGGTAGGTTGTTTGGAGCACAGAAAATCTGCTCTGCTTGCAAATCATTGTGGATTACAGTAAAAATAAGAAAATAAAAACATTTTGCTCTTAAATATTGTCCTAACATCACAACATTTACCTTAAAATGGCAAATGTACTAATTGGTTCAACTGTCATGGTCACACATGAGCATACTGCACGTTTTTTTCTCTAATCTTTTTAGTTTTGCAAGTTACATTTTTTTCTGAACTTAAATTTGAGTTCTGAGCAGATCTGCCAAACACCCATTCATTCTTTTTTATCTCCATTAAATCACAAAGGCTGTACAAGATATAAAAAACGAACTTTCAGCTGAGGTTCACAGCATGGATGGCAGTCTAAAAGAAATAAAAGGCTCTTTGATAATTAAACATAAAATTCTTTATTTAATCAAGGATAAAACAACATGTTTCAATAGGAATAAGGTCTGTTGATTGGTTGTGCTCCTACTTAGAGGAACCACTTATGAGGCTAAAGAAATAAATGAACACTCAGTGAGAACACCCACACTGAGGTCTGTAATTAAGTCTTTATGATCTGAAAATTTATTAAAAACAGACCATGAGATATTTTATGAACACCTCAATAATCACTTTATCTCAACATGGCTGTTCCCTCTTTTACCTCTGTGTGAAAACTGCGAATCTATACATTTTTGCCACAAGCACAATTATGGACCTGTCCACAAAATGATGTGATTAAATGTGCCTGAGTCTATCCGGTAGAGAATTAAGCTAATTCTTTTCCCCCAAGTTCTAAAAAACCCACGGCAGTCTTTCCTGGAGGTCATCTGTCTCTACTCCAACATCTTAGAAAACTCCAACATTAGAAAACCAGGGCCGTGCAGAGACCTTTGAAGAAGCAGGTGCTCAGAGTTAGCACAAAAGGGCACATGGAGCACAAGTTTGAAATACCATACAGAAACATACCTTACAATATAACTGATTGAATTGTTGCAACCCATATTCAAAAATAATGTCACATGAAATCACAACATACCATATCATTGATCGCCATAATTAAAGCCGTGCATCAATTTAACTGTGGCTACTCTTCCAGGAGTCTTTGCTTTTCAGTTTTAATAAGACTGGAAGACAAAAATGGAACAATTCTGACACCTCTTTATTTTAATTTCACAGCTTTATTTTTGTTGTTTTCTTAACTCATTAAAACCAAATACAACCAACAGTTTTGACACAAACATGACTTCAATATGAAATGTTTCAACCTGTATTTATTGACAAATAAATACAGTAAATAAGTCATCTGATCATGAAAGTACATCATCTGGGGGACGAATTAAATATCTTGTTAACTTCATCATGTGTGACCATTTTCTGGATATTTAATTTGATGCGGTTTCAGCTGTGTTAATTCGTTTAGGTCCAAACGCGTGCCAAACGCGTTCATCAGATAAGATCTCCATCCGAACGTAAAGATATAGATCGAAGTGTACGTGTGCGTGCTGACGGGACCTGAACGTTCCACGGTTGCCATGGTTTGTCTCCACGGTGCATCACTGAAAAGAAATTCACATTTGATCCAAATCAAAACTTTGATGGTCAGATAGTACACAGCTCTCACGGATATTTTGGAAAAGCACGTTTTTCAGCGAAAAAAATCTACAACTACAGGCGACTTTCTTTCTGCAGGACCCCGACGACAGACTTTAGACAGGACTTCTTCAAAAAAGTGAGAATTGAGCAATTTTATCAAGTTGTGTCGAACATTTATTTTGCTAACGTGACCAGAAGGTTACCGATGTTAGCTTTAGCCTTGAGATTTTGTCATTTTATTAATTAGATAAAAACCAAAGACTACAGAAGTAAACCCACAGCTGCTGTAAGCACATGTTTTAACAAAATGAAACTTTCTTGAATGATTTGCGGTCCAGTTTTTGTCATATGTAACCTGCAGTCATTTTAGTAGCTAACAATATGTTGGTGTCATACTGTCACATTGAGACTACAACTATTTAATTAAAAAACACATAACTTGCCAAATACAGTGTGTTTAGAACAATAAAATGTAATTTCATACCAATTGAACGCTATTTCTGGTACATTAATAGTTAAAATCTATATTTTCTTAGTACAAAATTAACAATTTTTTGGTTGCTGCCTTAACATTTTGAGGTTTTGTTTTGAATCCAATCGAACCTACTGATCAGTTCCATATTTCACAGCAGCCACAGCTGAACTATTTTCAAGTGAGAATTTCTTTCAAAACAAAGTCCATTAAAGTACTTTTATTTGACAGGACCGACAAAAGACCAGAGACCAGATACGAGATCCCAGGACAGGGCTTCCTCAGGGAAGAAAAGTGAGAATTTTGGACTTTTTTATTGCCCCATTGTGTGAAGAAAAGTAGAGATGATGTGAACCATTGAGCAGATGAAAGCAAATTGCTAACATTTACCAGACTGTTTAATTATTATAATAAATAAGTGATAAAAATAATTGAAATAAACCCCCCTTGAAATGTTGGATTATCAATAAAGCATGGTAAAAAAGATGTAATAAAGACAAGCTTACACGTTAGGCTACATATTTTTAACTTTGTAGCCTGATGAGTGCATGCTCACTATAATTTTTTTGTATTGATTATGTAGAAAATTTGACACATCATTGATCTTGAAAAAATAAGAATATAACTACATCATTTGCAAGCTAGTTTTAGCTGTTTTAAAGACTCATAATAAGATGTTATTATGTTTTTGGTTTTTGCCTGCAGATGAAGCAACGCTTCACCTGGGCGTCGGCTCCCATCCCGGTTCTAGGTCAGCCCGGCAGCCAGCGGCTCATCCTCCGCAGGGTCCCGGCACGGACCTCGCGCAGCAGCAGCAGCAGCAGCAGCACCAGCAGCACCACACCTGCCAGTCCCCCTGGCAGTCACGTGAGGTCACACACACAGTTTTCCTCCCACAATACCAATGAGGCCTCAAAGGAGCAACGTCGTAAGACCCTTGCGGCCCTCAGTGAGGTGGTGAAAGCCCGTCCTCCTAAGAGAGCACCCACTGAGGCTCCTGAAGCAGGCCCATCAAAGTGTATTTCTACTAAACTGTGTTGTCAAGCTCTTCCAGGTTTCTCCCCAGAAGACGGTGTGGAATCAAGGCCAGGTGTGAAGGTGTGCTCCCCCAGACCAGCTGTGGCCCCATGTGCTGCTCCACAGCGATGCCCTCCGAAAGCAACTGTGTCCGCCACTGCAGCCGCAGGACAGGGCCCTCCGAAAGGAGCTGGTTAGTAATTTGAAACCCTGCTCAAACTTTCCCAGGAAAACCTAGTAAACATTATCCCAAAAATGTAAACTCATTGTTAGCAGGATCACACTTTATTACCCGAAGTGATCTAACATGCTCTACATGGTGGTTATCATGTCTTCATTGTCCAAACCATTTCAGAAAATGTGGAAGAAAATGTCATTATGAGTGCATGCAATATTTTCATATCAGTGTCAGTGTTTCAGAAATTTGGAATTAAAATCTTTGTTTACGAATCACACTGATCAGCATTTGGCAATAATGGCCAAATCCTTGAATACTCAAACTGTTCAGCGTCCAGCCTTCAGTGCACAATAGAGTAAATATTGAGAATAAGTAGAGACCAAAATCATGTCTACTTTACCTTTGATCACTTTGATTGAAGAGAGCCCAAGAAAGAGAAGAAGAATCACCGGCACTGATGAAGACCACCTCGAGAACCCTGAGGTCTCATCAGCAGAGCCCAGCTATTCTGCCACAAGAGGTAAGATGGCAAAGAAATGACATTTTTACATATAGGCCTCATGAAATTAAATTTTGAGTATGTTTGATCTTTGGAGTATAATTTTTTTAGGAGTAAGTAAGACTATTTTTAAAAAACATTTTTTTTTTGTGTTTCTTGTTTTTGTAGCGGCCCTCCATGAAAAATATACAGAGAGGGACCGGCTTGGAGAAGGAGGATACGGGGCAGTCTATGCTGGATATAGAAATAAGGACATGCTACCAGTAAGATTAAATGTTTCATACACTTATGTAGCAGTGCATACACACTTTTCACTTTGTACTTAGTGTGAGCTAACCATGTTTCTTCCTGTGTTTCTTCTAGGTTGCCATCAAACATATTCCTCAGTCGGGCGTTGAGCGCATATCGGTAAGTATAGGACTGTGTCCACTAACAGCTGTTAATTTTTATAAGATGACAGCCCACAATACCTTAGTTTCCTTCGTTGACCTTTTCACAACGTTACATTGTTTAAAAAAATATCCTCTGTCACTTCAGTTCCATGACAAGTGACCGATTTTAGTCTGTGAGAAAATGCTCCATATGTTCTTATGCTATTTTATATTTTAAGATCAAAGAGGAAAACATCGACTCTGTCCCCCTGGAGGTGGTGATGATGCAGAAAGTGCAGTCAGGCACCCCAGGAACCAGTGCAGCCGTGGCCCTGCTTGACTGGTATGATCTCGAAGAGGAGCTGATACTCGTCCTAGAGAGACCAGTGCCCTGCGTGGATCTGTTTGACTATATGTTTCAAACAGAATCCCCCATGCCAGAGAGGGAGGCAAAAGTAAGTACTTGATTAAATGAGTTTTGCAGTGTTTTCTTTTTGCACTGTCTGTCTGCACTGTGATACTCAATCTGCATGTATCTCTCTTTCCACCTCAGATCCTGACAAAACAGCTGATTGATGCCCTCATAGAGATCCACTCAAAAGGAGTTTTCCACAATGACATCAAGGTGGACAACATCCTGATTGAGTGTGGCTCTGCAGTCCCCCGTGTGAGAGTCATAGACTTTGGCTTCAGCACTTTTCTGACTGAGGGGACGTACCATTCAATGCAAGGTAGGCTGTCTCTCAATGAACATTGTTTTTTAAGGGCTTTCCACAAACATCAGGTGGTCAGTCAATGAGAAAATGTAGGCCACTTACAGTGTTAGCAGTCTCTGTATGAATTGAGTTTGAGGTTTTAAAATAGTAGATATAAGTAAGTTTTCAGTGGCCTGATTTGCCAACAGCAAGTGTATGTGGAAAGCCCTGGTCTCTTGATGAAACCTACCAAACAAATTTGCTGTGTCAGTCCACAACAATTATCCTTCATCTCCTTTTGTGTGTGTTTTGTAGGAACCCCTGATTATAGCTCCCCTGAGTGGTTCGTCACCAACAGCTACAGAGCGGAACCAGCTACAGTATGGCAGCTCGCTGTAGTGGTTTATACTTTGCTTCATGGAGCTTATCCCTTTGAAAACACAGAAGAAATCATTTCCAAAGAGCTGCATGTCAAAAAAAGACTTTCCAACGGTGAATAATCACACCCACATAAAGTCAGATTGAGCACAGTTAGATCCATAGTAAGTGTTTGTATCCGACCATTGACCATTTCTGTTTTGTCTCTCTAGACTGCAAGGACTTTCTGCTCAAGAGTCTGTCCAAAAACCCAGAGACTAGACCAACCCTGGCAGTACTAAGGGACCACCCTTGGCTGGCTTGATGTCAAGATTGATGTCACTTGATTTCTTTATTTATTCATTTGCTGATGTTCATGTTTTAATGTTGCTTTGTTGATTTGAACTGTTTGATGATTTATGATTTTAATTGTTAGTAGTGCTTTATTATTGTTTTTATATGTTCTGTAAAGTTCTTGAGTGATGTGAAAGGCGCTTCAAATAAAATGTATTATTATTTACTATTATTACAAAGGCTCTATCATTGAACATACAGGCTCAAAAGGACACTGAATTAATCAAGCGAATGTAGCATTAAGTGTAAAATCTCTGGTCAGATGCACACTGTAAAAAAGGTTTATATAATGCATGTCATTTTTACAGCACCTTACCTTAAATAGGTTTCCATGAATGTCATTTTAACAGCAAAACGATGGTCACAAAACCCTCCTGACTTTATGATTTTAGGTTCAACTGGGCATTGAAAAAGAGAACTAATGGGGGCAGTTCTTTTATATAAGCTGATTTGCACAAGTGTTGAAAGACTAATTTTATCTGATTTTATCTGCTGACTGTTTTTTATGCTGACTGTTTTTTGTTGTTTCGCCCTTTGCTTGGTTTTTACTGTTATTGTTGTCTTGTTGTGCACTTTGAGATTTGTTTTTAAATGTAAAGTGTTTTACAAATAAAATCTATTATTATTATTATTAATGCAAATGAACTTTGATTGTGGTTCACGTGGATTTTGACATACAAAAAAGTCCTGCCGTGATGTTACCAAATAACACCTTGTTAGTAATTTGAAACCCTGATCAAATTTTACCAGGACAACCTAGTGAACATTTTTCCGAAAAATGTAAAACCATTGTTAGCAGGATCACACTTTATTACCCGAAGTGATCTAACACATTTGCATGGTGGTTGTCAATGCCATTACAGCAGTTGAAAAGGTCTTTTTTTTTTAAGAAATGAGAGAACCACCAACCCTCTTTCTGCATCCATAGCTCTATAACAAAATGGTGAATGATTCAACTTCCTGACCTTGAGTAAATTTCAGCATAAAAGTGTCAAAAATTGTCATTTTTTGATGGTCGCACCACATGATATTTAATGAAATGGACACGATCGGACAAAATTTGTTTGTATATTATGAAAAAAATATAACTGCAAAAGCTTTGCAAATTTGTACAGGAATAAAAAACACTTTGAAAATTATGCCAAATATTGCAGAAACTAAATTGTAATAGATTTAGAGTAATTTCAAAGAAGTTTTCAAAACAGAAGTCATGGCCGGACGGTCACACCACGTGATATTTTGACACTTTGAAGTTAAAAAAATTACAAAAATCTCCTAATTTTTGAAAAGTTGAAGTGGCTCCATATATTAGAGAGATACTACACATAGAAAGTATATTTTTTTACATTTAAAAGCTTTTGTTACTTAAAGAAAATACAGCCGGACAGAATATTTAGGCGTCACGTCATTGACCCATAGATCGAAGTGTATGTGTGCGTGCTGACGGGACCTGAATGTTCCACGGTTGCCATGGTTTGTCTCCACGAATCAAAACTTTGATTGTGAGATAGTGCACAGCTTTCATGGCCTTGGCCTCCCTGATCATCTGATTGAGAACTCCAGTGTGTTCCAGACATCCAGTGAAGCCTGGGATCCCACCTTTCTGGATAGCGGTGTCAATGTATCCGTTCTCTGTCATGTATGAGGTCATCCTCTTGGCCAGTACAGAAAAGAAGATTTTGCCTTCTACACTTAACAGTGAGATTGTTCTAAATTGGTCTATGGTTGAGGAGTTCTCCTCTTTTGGCACAAAACAGCCTTCTGCCTTTTTCCAGCATGATGGAATAATGCCCTTCTCCCTGATCCTCTGGGACAGCTTCCACAGTCTCGGAAGGAGCATTGGACATTGCTTGTATACCTTATAGGGTTAACCGCTTAGTGGGGCTGATCCTGTTCTGGCCTTCATCACCTCTTGGACTTCCTTCCAGGATGGTTCATTGATGTTGAGCTCTTTTCCAGTTGTATCAATGCTGTCAATGTTAGGGGGGGCATCCAGGGCCTGATTTCTGCAGGTGTCATTGTGGGTCTCCCTCAAGAACCCCCTCCACATCTTCTCTGAGGCTGGTTAGCCGTCCAGATTTTGCTTCACCCAGCAGTGTTCTGGTGAATCGGAAGGGGTTTTTGGTGAACTGAGCCCGTTTGTTCTCCCTATCCTTCCTCCTTTTCTGAATGCCTTCTGCTCTTCAGAGTTTGCAGAGACTCTTTTGAACCGCTTTTTGAGCGTTTTGTTTTCTTCTCTCAAGCGATGGATTTCGCTTTCTCTTCTGCTTGGTTGGTGTGCAGTGTCGATGTTAACCTTCTTGTCCTACAATCCATAATGCTCCCTTGCCAGATTATATGTTATTGTTGTGAGAGTATTAACTATCTGCTCAGCTGTTCCTGCTAGTGTGGCTTCTAGCTCTTCTAGATCTTGGTCTAGTTGGTACCATTCCGTGGTATCGCTCATTTTGAGCCATTTGATTTGTTCCCTCACAGGGTGGGTTTTGCTCTCTGGGGAGGCATTAGGTGGGTCCCTTGTGAGGTCTTGAGGTGACACAGGTGCTAAGAGATCTCCAGTACTGTGGGGTGCTTCCTGCCTGGAGCTCACCTGCATCTCACCAGGTGCTATCACTCTAGTTTTCTTGCAGGTTTTACCACAGTGACACTTTCATTCCAATGCCTCCCAAGTTAGAGTTGTTTGGGTGAGCCTTCTCGTTACTCCAGAGTCCGTTGTTCTGGCCGTTACCGTTGTGTGTCCTGTTGAGTCCCCCCCCCCCCCTTGGGCGACTCTGGGGATATTGTGCTGTATGACTTTCTGTAGCTTGATTTGGTGTCCTCTTGTGAGTGCTGTGCACGAGGTTGCTAAAAGACCCTCTGGGCCAAAACAGCATGGATCTCAACTTGTATCTCAAAATATCTGACAGTTGATATGTAAAAAAAAAAAGAAAAAGGAAAATCTAAATATACCCTCTGACCAACTAAGTTCCAGTGAAGGACTAAATGAACATTGTCCAGCAGTTTATCAGAGCTGCACTTTAAAGCCTCCTACTAACTGAAAATGTCATAATGACTCACCTTGGATGGTACTTGTGAAAAGTAGAAGTGCCCAGAACTCATTATTATGACTAACATTTCACTGAGTGTTAAGTTGAAGACATTAATGACTGAAGGAAACTTAGGCAGCATCAAAAAAGTCAAGAGTTTAACCACCCCGATCTCATTAGAAACAGGTGAAAAATACAGTCCACAATACTGAGAGAGAGAGAGAAAAAATCCAGTACTGTGGCGGCCTGATTAAGGGGGGATGTGTAGAGTGCCTCAGTTCTGACTAAATTACATAAAAGGTGCATTTTTCTATTCAAATTGCACATAAGACATTTTTCAAATTTAACTTTAAACTGTACATTAGTGCTGGCAGAGCTTTGACCATCAGATCAGTCCATTTGTCACTTAACAGAAACTGATGAGATACTTACCTTTTGACTACGACTTTCAAATCAGGATTTGTTTCAGTTGCAATAACTTGGTGTTCCTGATCAATCGTGTAATAGTTGCATATTTAAAATTTCATTATTTTGCATTTCAGAACAGTTTGTCGACTTTGCACCAGTGTAGTCTGAAACCATGTCTTAGGGGTATAGAAGACAGCCTCTATATGTCAAATATAGATAATATTATTTTAGCTTATTTCATCATTTTGAAGAACATCACTTTTGTGCATAAATTAATATATAGAAGTGCATGTGTAGATTGTCCAATCAATGTTGATATGATGTGCAGTGATAATTTTGTTGACTGGTGTCCAGTGATTTCTGGTTAAGGAGTTCCAGTTCAGCTGCTTTCTCTGTTTCTGGATATGACTTTTCATGGGGTGAGTCTCACACTCAAGTTATACTCCCCTGACTATTGGGATGGGGTTGCACACAAATGCAAGTCTGATTAGCCGCACCTTTATGTGGGGCTTGAAATTAACTTCTGCCAAATTTGGCAGGTACACGTCATAAGGAGGGAAATGTTTTGACTACATCAGTAGAGGCACAAAAACTATGCAGGATTTTTTATATCTCATTTTGGTGTACCTCCAATTTCCTGCTCCTCTGGTTCCAGCTAATAGGAACTTTGCAGGGTCAGGAAGGAAGGAAGGAGGGAGGGAAGGAAAGGAGGGCTCAATTATAATTAAGATCTGTTAATCTTGGAAAGTTTATGTAGAAGCTCTTTGTAGCTGTTATTTGACAAAGTATTTTTTGTGAGCCACGGGCCACAGTTCTTTTTCGGTGTAGACCTAGTGTGAATCATTCAAAACTCAAACCTTCATTTGAACTTTAGGGGAAAAGTTCATTCTCAGTCTGTAATGAGCTATTTAAACTCATAACAATACAGTGCTATATACCACCTACAGTAGATACACCTGAAGTAGCTAACCATTTGATCCAGTTTGTGCACTCTTGACCTCAGTAAACTAAAATTTGAATATACAGCTATATTTTATTAAAAAAAAAATACGATGATCAGTTGGTAGTTTGCCAAATCGATCCCCCACCTTGGCTGGTGAGTCAAAACATGAATTTCATACCAATTATGCCATAGTGGTCATTCACTTAAGAGATCTTTGAATTCGTTTGGACACAGAATGCAGATAACTCTTGACTTTTTGGCTGACATCTGTCATTTGCACTCTTTAGGAGTTCTTTTTTTCTTTTGATTTACGTTTAAACATTTGTCTGCAGTTATTTACCCTATCCAAAACCCTGATATCATAGCAAAAGTTGACATTGCACTGCTATGTCAACTTTTGTGATGTGGTTACTCACTGATATCGGTTTAAATGGCTGAGCCTGTATGTTTAGCTCCTGGGTGAATGCTCAAGCTTAAATTACTTTGGTGATATTTTAAAGGTGTCTGGCACACAACTCAGATTACTTTTGAATTGTCAACTGCATTATTTTGGAGTTTTTAAAAATAAAATGTGCCGTTTAAAATCACCGAAGGCTGCAGCAGGAAGACAATTCAGTCTGTGTAAGCTAAAAACCACAAAACAAATGTGAGCACTGATCCTTTTTTTTTTCTGCAAACATCTCACTGTAACTGCTGACCTGGAACACAGCGTGAAGATATGAGCTAACATTTAAGCTTCCCTCCCAGAGGATGACACTGCAGGCAGATGGTCACCATGAAAATATGGTCTGTTCCCAAGCGTATTCTAAGTCTGCCAGCTTGACTGAACTGGTGCAAAATAACTCTTACCATATGTTGGATCTGATGCATCCTTCATGGTCCTTTAGAGGCAGTATACATTTGAGGGAACCTATGACATAGGACATCCTCAAACTTGCCAGCCAGACTTGAAGCGCGCCTTTTGAAAAGTAGCTACAGCCCCTGAATTGGGCCTACATTTAACTCTGCAGACATTCATGAATAAATATGTTGTCTCAGTTGATGCTGTTGCAATCATCACTGGAGCCATGTCTGATTGTGCTGGTGGGTTTTTGGTACCAGGAGAGCTGCTAGTGGTGGGGGTCCTTCTGCCCTTTCTGCAGAGAGAGCTAGAGGCTTAAAAAAAACCCTGAATGAAAGGTTAGAGTACTGAGCCAATTCTGCCTCTTCTAGGTGAAAACCTGTCCTCATCCTTGTGCTGAAATAAACTCCTGGAGGCTATTTACCATCCAAGAATATAGCTCTTATGAAAGCTCACTGAGAACCTTTTATCAGATTTTTCAGATATAAGCTCTAACCAGTTTGTCAATCTAACATTTATAGAGTAAAAGCTTTAACTGATAAATAACCAAACTGACTTTTTATCATGAAAGCCAGGTTGATAGTTTTAATGTCACTCTCATTAGAAAAAAGGTCAATATGAGCCCAAATCGATTCCACTTGTGTGTAAATGCTGATGATGTGTTTATTGGATAAAATAAATAAAGCTCGGTGTTTCGTGACTCTCTGGTGACTCATGGATGTTTTTCTGCTCGGTGTAAATTTAAACCTTTGGCCTTCCTTCACTCCTCAGTTAGGATTATTTCAGTCCGCTTCCCGCCGCTACTCCACTTCAGCTCCTGATTGCAGACTTCAGCCCTTCATCTGCCGCTGGGCGAACAAAGGGGGAAGACGACAAGTGAACAGAAATCACATGAAGAGATTCCGGAACATGTCTCGCTTCAAAATACAAGCGTTTCTTTACGTGGTCACAGTCAGCGATTGAAAAGTTTAAACAAAAAAACAAACAAACAAACTAACTAACTAACTAACAAACAAAACAAAAAACGGTTTTAATATTTTTTTTTTGCCGTAAAAAGAGTTCAGGAATGTATGCCATTCTTTTAATATAAGTGACAGGGAAATAAAAATCAGAGTTTTGAGAAAACCGATATTTTGAAAAATTAAATAATTCAATTTGTTAAGCCTATTTTACACTCGTTTTCATCTAAAGGTACCTTTTCCTTTTATAGGCTATTGTTGATTTGCCTTTTTTAAACCATAACTCCAAACCACTTGCTTTTATTTATTTTTTATTTAATTTTATTTAATTTTTTGGTTTAAAGTTTTTAATGGAGCATATTGTGAATTCATTTTGAAAAATGCTTATACGAATGAAATTAATTGATTTTTATCAGTGATGTTTTGTTGTTGTTTGTGGTTAGTATCATTATAGGTATTGTATAATTATTATCTAAATAATTATATTTGTTAAAAAAATATTTATTGTGTTCATAATTAAATAAACGACTCATGTTATTATTAAAATTTTGACCTTCTTTTGAAAGATGAAAACTTAAAAATATTTATCAACAGTTTACAATATTTGATGTTATTATTATTATTATTTTTTGTATGGACACTATTCCAATATAATTCCAATATGATATCAGTGGAACACACAAAAAACTAATGAGCTGCTATGAGACATTTATTCTGAAAATATAACCGGAAGCAGTACTTATTTTTTACTATAGTAGTATTGACTCCTCAGACAAAAAGCAACAGTGCGCTCTGAGCTTCCCGCACAGCCTTTTCCCCGCACTGATGCCAAACTGGCTGACTGGATAGAGGGGCGCACCCCCAGAGGATTTATGATAACAATCATTCAATACAAATCATTCAGACTTGTGTTTTTCCTCATTGAAGAACTGTCCCAGAGAGCATGGAGGGTTATTGGAAAGTATTTTATTTCCATCACCGGTTGTCAGTCATGTTGGACTCCTGCGTAAAGTGGAGCGCAGCGCACGGGCGCGTGGATGGACTTCTTGGCTGTGTGTGTGCGTGAGGTGAAACAGGTTTACTATGGTTTTGGCTTTGAATTAAACATGGTCGCGAATATCCCGGAGTCCAACTCCAGCGGCAACTTGACTCCCGCAGTGTCCGAGGCAGGGACCGTGCTCCCGGGCTACCTGGTGGTGCTCCTGTCGGTCCTCATGGTGACTCTGGTTGTCGTGGTGGTGGCGGGAAATGCACTGGTCATCATGGCTTTTGTTGTGGATAAAACCTTGAGGACTCAAAGCAACTACTTCTTCCTCAACCTGGCCATATCTGATTTCCTCGTGGGTGAGTTGGGGCATCCTCTCCGTCTCCTTACTCCCTGGTCCAAATCTTTTGTTTCCCCTTGTGATTGAGAACCCACTTTTCTGCATTTCTGCACACGCCCAAACACGGCAGACTTTTCCTTTAATGTGATTATTAAAATAAAGTGAGTCAGTGGCGCTCACAGTGTGTTAATGATGACCTTAGTCTTTCTGCTTCATCCATGTGTCACATTACCACTGAGAGTCACTCAGTTTCAATCTACCTCCTCTCCCATTGTGCTGCTGTTATCTGCAGCCTCATATAAATAAAATACACCCGCTTCAGAGTGGAACAATAAGAGAGCAGACTGTTCCCAAATCTCTTTGTGCACACCGTGCAGGCATTTTCTGTCTTTAGGTTTGGAGAGGTGTGGATTTAAACGCACATGTGATTGGGTGGTTAATTTGTGTGTGTTGAAGGTGCTTTCTGCATCCCTGTGTACATCCCCTACAACCTGACGGGCCGCTGGATGCTGGGTAAGGGTCTCTGCAAGGTGTGGCTGGTCATGGACTACCTGCTCTGCACCGCCTCAGTCTTCAACATCGTCCTCATCAGTTATGACCGCTTCCTGTCAGTCACACGAGCTGTAAGTACATCGCACACATATAGAGTGTATGTGACACAGTAACACAGGTAATGTGCAGTGAGGAGTCATTTGCATTCACAGCTTTATTCCCCTAACAGGCGTCTGGTTTGAATCTATACTGTCAGTCTGAACCATCTGCTTCATTTGTTACATAAAGATTTTCAATACAAACATGAGCAGCTGCTTTACAGACAATTTTAATGAAGTTGAAGAGAAACACCTACAACTTTAACATGAAAGAGGTAATTTGTAGTGCACAAATTGTGAGACCCTGATATGAATCTGAGATGTTTTTTGAAACCTTGAACTTGTTTCTTATTGCCTGGTTGTCAAATACTTGATTCAGGTTTGCCAAATAACCATAATAAAGATCAGTAATTCTGGATATTAAGAACAACTTAATCAGACACATCATATCAAATGAATTCGTGGAGAGGAGTCCTACAGAGGAATCCCTCTGCCTTTTGACTCTGTGGCACAAATGTCAGTTTTGTCTTAGCGTGCTAAATTGGTGGAAAAACATTATAAAATGTACAAGTGGATGTCTTTTCTTCACCGACAGAAGGGCTGAGAGAGTGAGCATTTCAATCCAGAATCTGACCTCCAGACACCGCTTAATATTCCCTATTATTACACTCTGTACTGGGGGTTGACACCAATATAAACTTGCCAATTCTGGCAAGTTGCGCTGTAATGCTAGTCAAGTTTAATTTACATTAATGGTTTGCAGGTTTTCCATATGAAGGCGTGTCCTAAACCTCATGACACTGTTAAGAGGAGAGAGGATCAAGGTGAGAAGAAGGAAATCAGATGACTGATGGGCCAAGATATAGAGCAGAAGTCTTTCAATTGATGGACATATCTCTGCATCTAATATCACACTCTGAGTTCCTGAGACATAGTACAAATAGGCTGTGTGTAGTTGATAATGAATTTAACTCATTAAGTGCCGATGACAGACTTGGACAGATTTTTTTAGTAGCCCTGAGTGCCAATGACGGATTTTTCAGTTTTTTTGTTTTCCGCCAGAGGGCGCTCCTCCCAAACATGCGACTCAGTTTTGGGTCATTCTGAAAGCAGAAAAGCCGACAAATACGTCATAACCATATGGAGTAACAAAAACAAGTATTCACTTGTGATAACTGTGCCATCAAGTGTGCCAATTAGCCTAGTTGTGGAGTGTTTTTTCTCTATCAGGAGAGTAGAAAAATGCCAAAGTCTTAGCCAAGAGCAAATGGTCTCTTGGTGCATCAGCTACCGTCTCTGGATCCAGTGGAGATTCCGGTACAGGACCTTCACATTGTCAGAAACAATTTTCCGGTGTGTCGTTGTGCCACTGATGCCGGTACTGTTGAGCGAGACTGAGCCAGAATTCACCGACAGTCCCGGGGAGTAGGACACGGGCAAGCTGTGTGGTTTATGTCACGGCATCACTACAGTTAAATTACGACTCTCAGCCATCACAAAATGACCTATCACAATCGGATCTGAGTGATGTCTGAGAAGGGAGGACCTTAATGCCACCAGTAAAGTAAGAATAAGAACAAGAATAAGAATAACTTTATTTATCCCCGAAGGGAAATTCAAGTTTGATGTGAAATAGTTGATCAGAGTTCTGCCTGAAAGTCACTTCTTTGTAAAAATGTGTTTTTCCCAGGTTTCTTTTTCCAGATTGGCAAAGATGATATGACCACACTGCATTGAGCAGGCATTAACTAAACACAGGAGTGGGTTAGAGACTAACTTTTTTTCTAGCGAAAGAAGACACTCACCCTTTTCTTTTCAGATATTGCACTTCATTCTAGATAAAACAAGATATTCTGTGGGTCCTGAAAGATACTGAAATTTCTATTGTGGTCAATGGTGCCCCTGGGTGAAAACTGCATTAATGAACCTGGCGCTGAATGAGTTAATAATGATACTGGTAAAAAATATTCTCTTTGGTTCTAAGCAGGACACAGATTGAACAGACTGAAGGTTATCTTGTGCAGGCGTTCATTCAACAAACATATGGAAAGAAAAGTTACTGTTTCTTATTTCAATGAATTACTTGCACAATCTGCCAACACAAGTAGCAGCTGACAGCTCATAACAATTCATAAGTACAATTATTGCTTTTGTAGAAAACCCAGACAGAAGGAAAAAAAAACCCAGAAAAACAGCTGATACAGCAGGGATCAGCTGACAGTGTCATTTCAAAGGACATTGCTTTACAAGGTGCACATTTTTATGTAGTTTCTCTTCCTCATTGTAATGTTCTTTTATATCTGGCTTCACTTTGGCAATTAAATGACTTCTCTAGTGAGAGCTATTTTTTCATTAAATGTAAATTTGCCATCATTGTTAAAACACTGAAATGTTCATTAGACCGACTAATGTGCATTTACTTATGATACATTATATTTTATAATTATACACATGGATAAAGTATCTGTGCAACACTGTAATGATAGTTGTTAGAGTGGACAGTGAAGACAGAGAGGGTAAATGGTAAGAAATCAGGAAAAAAATCTTCTGCCTGATTTTAAGAAACTAGAAGAAACTGCTGAACGGAAACTTTTGTACCAGCAAGACAGTAAAAAGGTGATCTGGTACAGGCAGCCAGATTGTAATGTCAGTGAAACTGCATGTTCAACATCTCTCAATATTAGTTTTCCCCCAGTTGATCAGGACAAAATTGAAAGAAAATTTCACCTCTATGCAGGGTAGTAGTAGGACTCATTTTTAGCCTGCAGTTTAGACCAGCCCAATTTAGTTCACAGCCTTTATTGAAGTTATATAATTTTAGTGTTACCAAAAGCATATCACAAATATATGAATTGGCAGTGTTTAATATTGTTATATGAAGTTGTTATAATTGAAAAGTCAGAGTTATGAGATGTGTCATATATACGTGAGGTCGGCGCCTGGTCTGAGAATTTAATTTTTTTTTTCAGCAATCAAATGATCCATGCTGAACAGAGGGCTCTGTTGAGGGAATAGAGGAAATGACAGTGAAAGACAAAAACTCATCTTACAGGTAAAAGTTAGAAAACTTGTTGAGGATGTTTGTTCATGCAGAGTGCTGCTCTCTCGCTCTCTCTCTAATTAAGTCATTGTGGATCTCCCATAGGCAAAGCTTCTCAGGCAAGTTCTTTGAAAGTAACCTTCATAATTTCTAATGTAGAATAATAAAATGAAATGGTTTTAACTTCTGCTGTTAAAAGGTGTGATCAGTATTTAACTCCTCTCTTGGCTCCAAGGTGTTGTTTTTGTTGTGTGTATTGAAGACAAAAACAATGGACATTCTCAACTGGGATTTAGTTTTATTGAATTTTTTAAAATACTTTAAACCACATTCAGTCATCATGCTTTTTTTGCAGGATTATTTGTTTTGTGTTTCAGTTAACAAAAGTGTTTTTCACTTATTGGTTTAGTAATTTTGTTGGTTTTCATCCTCGATTATCCTCCTCACCTTTTTTTTCCGACTGAATGTACACTGCTATATGGCTCTGGGAGAATTCACTGCCTTGTAAAACACTACTTGAATAATGTAAAGGCTACTTATACCTTCCCCTAGAAAGTGCAGTTTGTTGTCTGTGACTCTAAACTTATGGTAAACGTTTCATTATGGAAATTAACGTGGAAACAGCGATAAAAAGCAGTGCCAGTGGGCGATGTCAATACTAATAGTATTGACATGGTATATGTCAATATGCTATATCATGCAGATATCATGCAGTTGTTTTCTCGTTATAATATAGCATACAAATGAGAGGCAGTATTGCTGAATTTAGGTGAATGTCTGATTGAATTAAAGTAGACATAAAAATATGTGGCTCAGCAAAATGTTACCACTAAGGACTTTTGGATTTCTGCAAATTAGTAAATTAGCAAATCTGAAATTAGTAAGGAGGAAAAAAATATACAGGTAAATATTATTATTATTTTCATTATCAGATTGCACTACTGTATACACCATGGTTGTCCAAATTTATTTTAAACGCTAGTGATTCTTTAATTTGATACACTGTAAAATGTAATTTTAATTCTGAAAAGATAATGGTGATACCGGCTCATGAGGACTGATGCCAATATGAAGATGATTACATCACGATGTCGCCAATCGGCCTAATTAATCGGTCTATCTTTAATGAAAACCAAGCTCTTTTTCTGTGACTCCGAATATTTATGATGTGACATGGGTGTGCTAACAACAAATAATAAATACTGTGAAATGCTTTGACACCTCTACAGCTCTGCATGTCTGTAAACACTTGTAAATGGTTATATTAACAGAGGTCTCTTTTGCCCTCTCCAACTCAGTGCAGTTGGTTGGTACTGAAGCCTCTAGTGTGCAGTCATTTCAAAGATTAAGTGAATGAAGAAATTAAAATTTAACTTGTTTGGTTAGTGCTTTTGTTTATTGTTCGTTAAGGCTGGTGAAGGTGTTGATAAAGGTTGAGGTCGGTGAAGGTTATTAGGTTTGTAAGGCGTTTCAGAGCTTGCATTTGATAGATGTTTTGTACACAGTACCCAAAACACAGTGTGCTGTGTAGTCTGGATTTAAATTAAGCTTTTTTATACTCAAGTTATTAAAGGAGTTGTTTCAGACCTAGTTAGTAGGAATAGTGGAGATGTGATGGACTTAGATCAGATGCCTAATTTTATCTTTAAGGAGTGAAAATTAGTGTCAGCTGTTCTGCACTCCAGCTCAAATATGTGAAAGTGCTGAAATGAATGATGTAGGGATAGCTGTCATTATGCATATTGCATATTGATCCATTACTGATCTAACCAATAGAACATTAAACTGTGAGGTCCTTGATGATACACAGCCGTACTTTTCACAGTGCAGTACAAAACAGTGTCTTTCTTTTTTTTGCCTCTTGTTACTGATTGGGTGAAAGCTCTAACACACCCACCGAAAAAAAGAAAAGATTTTGGGGAACATGTTGTCCAAGCAGGAAGCCTGAGCAAAGTGGTGCACAGTCTTATACAACTGAGTTCACACCGGGCTTCAGGATTCAGGAGGCTGAAAGGGTTTAATTACACCTGTCATCGAGGGGCATTATGGGAATTGCAGGATTCTGTCTCCTGTGAGTCCCCCAAATTTAGAGAAATGAAGCGCAAATGAATATCTTTTAAATAAAACCCACTGACAGGTATTTTATCCCCAGCAGGTTTCGTGACTCAGTCTTGAGTTAGTTGTATAACAATGTATGGTCAGTATTAGTCATCCATTCAAACATATTTCCCTCAAGATTAAACAGACCTAAATAATGCCCCTGAAAACCTGTTCATCTGTGCTGATTTGTTTCCATGTGGAGCTGTTTCATCCTGTTGCTGCATGAGTGTTTTTTTTGATGTGCCAGACTTTCCAGACACCACATGATACCATCTCTTTGCTTTTGGATGTTAGTTTGATCTCAGGGGCTTGGTGGGAAATTAAATTCATTTATTTATACATTTTCACTCTGTGGAGAGCAGGAATGGTCTCATTTAAAAGTAAAATGAATCTGATTTCTTTTTTTTTGCTTTGCCCATGACAGCACTTGAGGCTGTGCCAGAATCAGTTATTAGCATCATGAAGTGCCTCCATTTGATTGTTTATTGACTCAAAGGAGGGGATGCTTTTTTTTCCCCACTAAGTTGCACTTAAATTGCTGTCACATGAGGAGCATCTTTGTCTTCCCGCTGCTGCAGCAGAGATATCAGGCAAAGATGAGACAGAAAACGAAAACAGAAATAGAGAGTGACAGTGATTTTCTGACAGACTGGTTGAGACGGAGGGAAGCTGAAGTGAAAATAGAGCGACGGAAAAGAGAATGAGCACCGAGGACGTGAGGACGGGGGAGGAAAGGAAAGGGAGAAACCAGATGTCTCTTTCACACTCTTGTGTTGCATCGGTGAATGTGGCTCCCATCCTGATATTCTCCTCCTTTATCTCCATGTCTCTCGCTCCCTGGCTTCAGTAACTGGCAGGAACAAGGGCCTCATGAGTGGGTTTTATTTGCAGCATCTCTGCGCTGCTCAGAAGCTGCACAATTCTGACAGGCTGCATTTGGACAAAGAGTTGAGATGTTTGTACGCCCGCAGCTGCAGCAGGTTAAAACAGACACACTGGCTACATCTTATACCCTGAAGTTTTTCACTTGCATCCCTCACTTGCACTGTTTACTTGCATCCTCGTCCCCCACCAGAGTTGCATAGAGAGATTGATGGAAATGAGAGGAGGAGAGAGTGAACAAGGAAACTTGTATTAAGAGACATGAGAAGTGTCCTCTGCAATGGGCATTTTGGGTGACGGGGTCAGCTGTCAGTCAGCTTTAACAGCTGTTTGTATCTGCCGACAGGTGCATTGAAATAAGTCAAATAAAAGTAAACAGTAACAACATTTTGTCTCTTTGTGTTGAAGAACAATCTGCACTTTGTCTATTCTGACTCAACCAACATGGATTATTTTTCTGTTAAAATGCATCATTATTTGATGATTACCTGCCTTTACTTATAATCAGTGTATATGATAATGAACTCTGCATCTTACCGACACGAATCAATCTTTTTTTTTTTTTTTTAATATAGCACCAAATCACAACAGTCATTATCCCCAGATGCTTTCTAAAAGAACAGGTCTAGACCTAACTCATTGTTCGATGAAATACTCTTGTGATTTCTCAGGAACTCTGGAAATTATTCATTAGATGTGAAGTCTGGGCAAAAATTTAAATCATGAAACACAATCTGGCACTAATTAATGATCAGTGAAATAAAAATAAAAAAAACTTTATTTCTATCACAGTAAATGTTAAGAATTTGTAATTATGCTTTGCTGACAAAATTCAACCCTCACAAATAAGTGATTGAAGCAAGTAAGGCGTAGGATGTATCAGGAATATGTGTCTTTCTTGTGTGTAAGTCTTGAGTTACTTATTGACATTATGGGGCAAAAACTTGTGTCTGAGTCTCTACATTGACTTTAAGGCATTTAAGCTACTGAAGTAAATACTTTAATTAGCAAACACAATGCAATTCTCGTCCTGGAGTAAAAGAGAATCAAATATAAAATTATCAGTCCCTGATCCTGAGTTATGATACTATGTGACTATTTTGTTCGATGATGGATCTAGAGAAACATTGAGATATAAACAACAGGAGTAATCCTCTGTTTTGTTGATATTATGACACTCATGCTCATTGTTTTGTGCTTAATCCTCAAGTTTTTAAATCTTTATTCATCACATGGCAGTAGTTTCAGTGTGTGAAAAGACTTGTGCAAAGGCTGAACTTTTCTCTGATTTTCCTCCTCTCTCCTCAATCCTCTCTTCAATGAGCTGTATTGAAAGATTTGGAGCACCACTTTGCGCGGCGGGTCCATAAATACACCTGGTTAAATACTCTCTGTGAGTCAACCACCTGTCTCTCTTCCCACACAGGTAAAATACAGAGCGCAGAGAAACATGACCCGTCAGGCTGTGTGCAAGATGGTGGCAGTGTGGGTGCTTGCCTTCCTCCTCTACGGCCCTGCCATCATCTTCTGGGAGACAATCAGAGGACACAGCGTCGTCCCGACTCACGAGTGCTTTGCTGAGTTTTACTTCACCTGGTACTTCCTGCTCAGTGCCTCCACTTTCGAGTTCTTCACACCGTTTGTGTCTGTGGCTTTCTTCAACTTAAGCATTTACCTGAACATCCACCGCAGGAATAAGAACGGGGGGGCCTGTCCGGAGGAGGACACAAAGGTGCCAAGGATCAGTAAGAAGCACAAAGACGGGACAGGCTGGTCTGTGTTTTTTGTGAAGACAAGGAAGGTGTCATGCAGTGAGCCAGCTGCTATCTCTCCAGTAATCGAGGACGAGGATGTTGTGTCCTCCAGTGGGGCCCCGACCACTAGTCAGGTCTTCACACAGAGGGAGAAATTATCTCCCAACAGGAAGAACTCACGGCTGTTTCAGCATTCAGCCTCCTGCATGGTGCCACCAGGACGCAGGACACAGGGGTCTCGCCTTACACGGGACAAAAAGATAGCTAAATCTCTGGCCATTATAGTCTGTATTTTTGGGATTTGTTGGGCTCCTTACACTCTGCTGATGATTATCCGTGCGGCCTGCAGCGGTAAATGTGTGCCAAACTACTGGTATGAGATTACATTCTGGCTCCTGTGGCTGAACTCGGCCATCAACCCGATTCTGTACCCGCTGTGCCACAGCAGCTTCCGAAGGGCTTTCTCTAAAATACTGTGTCCAAAAAGACAATCAGTCCAGCCTCAGATCGAGGCTCAGTCCTGTTAGAGGAACTCTGATGCACTTCCACGTTTTACGAATGCAGACACTGCTGTTGGTCAAACACTGTAAAAACCATCTCCTGTTCTTCCATCACAAATAACTACTTTAAAAAAGAAAAAACATGTTGCAGTGAAGAATAACCGAATAATTTTTAAACCTGGGCTCTGAGTTTTAAAAAACATGCTGTTGAAACTGATAAGAGATGCGAAAATATTTGGATTTGCTCCGGTAGAATAGCAAAGCAGCAGTGTGTTATGGGTGGAACGAAACACTCAAGGTCCCAAATGAAGCTAATTAGAGAAGGTTTCTTTTCTGACATACATATTTTTTTTCAAAAGGCTGGATATTCAGTCTAATCTTCATCAAAGATTTAGATGAGTAGATAAATAGTCTTCAGGCTGCTCTGAACTAGTGATCGACCGATATCAGTTTATCCTCAGCCAGTGCTGATACTGAGAGCAGCTCTTATAGAGCCAATATAATAAGGCTGATATCACTTATCTTTTTTGAAGCTGATAAAAACAACAATTTAAAATGACTAATGAGGGACACTCACTCTTGAATTTTGCCACTATGCCAATATTTTCAAACCCATTATGGCTAAAACTGATATCGATTTGAATATACACACCTTTTTTCTTATTTATTTATTTTTTACTGCCTTTATTACTTTTACATATTGACCACAATATTAAACACTAATGTCCATACAGAATGCTTTTTTTCTAAACAATAAGAACAAGAAGAACACAAAAATACAAACAAACAACTAAACCCCCCACCTGCACCCCTCCCTTGGCACATATCCCCTTAAGTAAAATAAAATTAATAAAACAAGGTTAAAAATAATACAAAGAAAGTGAAATATTGCAGGGTTAATCAATCAAGATTCTCAGCCCAGATTAAAATGATATTCTGTACTTTGGACATATATCAATAACAGGTTCCAAGTTTTACCAAAGGTCCTCTCAGATCCAGACAGAGTCATCATGAATTTTTCCATACACACCACTTTTTTGAGAGTGAAAGCAAAGGTTTTCCTTTAACTCTTATTGTGAAAGTCTATTTGTTTAAAAAAAAAAAAAAAAAAAACAGACTAAAAACAAGACAAGCAACATTTGATTCTACCATAAATGATAATTGTTTTTTTATTTTTTATTTTTTTAATATAGGTATTCAATAACACATTTTCTGTCTTTCCAACACTTAAAATACTTCCATACAGCCAACAAGCGTAAGCTATAAAAGTGTACATAATTAACGCATCACCTTTTAGGCTTTCAATTACACTGGCAAAAATGTTCATATCTGATGATACAGCATCTTTCAAGAACAAATGTCACAAAGTGCTTCACAATAGTGAATAGAAACAACAAGACAAAACAATGAGAAAAAAAAGCAGACGAACATATTAATGCAAGTCTGAACCAATGGGACTTCAACATACAGTATCCACAGTTCTTGGTTCCGGTGAAAAGCACAAAGCCTTTTCAAAGTTTATGAGCAACAACCTTAAAAGCACAGTCTCCTATAGTTTTGTCTTGTCTGAGAAACAACTAGTAAAGCCTGAACAGAGGAACTCAGAGTCCTGGTTGAGTGAAATGGCTTCAGCAGGTCTGAAGTATAAGATGAAGCTAAACCATGCAATGCTTTGTACACTGTAACGTGAGTTTTAAACTGGATTCTGAATTCATTTGAAAGCCAGTGCCAAATCTGATGATAGGATGGTGTTTCCAAGAGCTTAGTTGCAGCATTTTAGACAATTTACCAAAGAAGTGTTTCTGAGACAGCTGAATAAAGAGTCACAAAAATCTTACTGAGATAAAACACAATAGCATGGTTTTTTGAAACTGTGGGGGAAACTGTAAAAGGAAACACTTTCAACCAAGGTTCACTTTACGGTGGCTGACAGTTCAGGTAATCTACTGGAGCTATCACATATTAGAGCCCTGGTTTAAAAAGATCAGCATTGCTGTTTAAAGTGAGCTGCGTAAAGATGATCATGTCTAATAGCAATATGACACTTCAGTATGAAAATTGAGAGTGGAAAAAAAACTGCCCTGAAACTTTTGATAATAGCTAATGATAATGATCGTTAAAGTTTAATGACAGGGTGGAGACACAGAGGCTCAGAGCACCTTTTAAAGTAGAGATAATTGCACCTTGATTACAGCGGATGTCAGATATCTCAAAACCTATTCTTGCCTCCACAGATCTCTGAAAGCAGGACAGTAAGTCGTGATTTTGTTTTCAGCTTTCTCACCACTTTGATCCAATGCCCTGTGTAACAAAGACTTCAGCAGCCAGACAGATCTGGATAACCATAATTTCATCTTTGATATTATTCACAAACTGCAGCATGCTGTCAGTCTGGAAAAGCACAGCGCAGAGAAACAATCATGTTCACAGGAAAACCCTTAAAATACTATTTAGAAGCAGCGGGTGTGAAGGAAGGATTTCATGGTCTGTTATGATTTTATAATGTATCACAACCTCTCAGCCTGCACATAAAAAAAAACCTTTCACTTAAGAGTTTTAAAAAACATCCCTGAAGAAGCAGGAGAAGAAAGCCTACGTCTTCAAAAATAAATTTCATGCCTCTCATAATGCAGCAATAGGACAATGAATGTGGTGTCCTTAAAGTTTAAAGCACCTGAAAAGAAGAGAATAACCTGTTGGTTACTGAGCACTCAGTAAACTTTATCATACTGATGTTTTATTTATCTTATCTAAAAAGTGGGCTAAAAGGCAACACTGAACCTGCACTTACTCTCTAAAGATGTCTCAAATGTAAAGCACTATGACATGAGAGCAGCATTAAAAGTTTTGTATAAAATATCTATGCTAAATCTCATGCTTGTGTTCTTTAAGTGGTGTATTTATTCAAAGACTTGACCGTTTTTTACCACCTTAACTACTTGACTGCTTCATATCTTGGCTATGGATGTGTGTACGTGTAAACAGCCAAAGAAGGAATAAAAGAAGACTGCCAACAGCCTTCTTACCTGGACATGTTATTGGTGACATTTTAACACAGTTGGTACAGGTGGTAGTTCCACATGACAAGATTCTTCAATACTTCATCTAGCCACACCTCACACGAGTATAGCCCCTTAAAGGTAAAAGTCCCACCATGTAGGTGAGCATCAGCTTTTATCCTACAGTGACCTTCAGAGCACATGAGGTCATCAGGTATGTTGTATAAAAGAGTGAGAAAGTCCACAAGGGGAGGAGGTTGGCAAACACAAGACTTACAATCTGGGTGTGGTTGCTCAAAAGGTTTCCTCTAGATTAAATAACCTGGATGTTTAAATCCTGTTTTATTGTGCCTTATTATATCTTGTTTATACCAGAAAAACTGAGGTAGATCAACCTGATCCAGATACAGACTTAAAAGATGCCTAAATCTGGGTTACTTGAACTCTAGATAGGACTGCATATTTGTTCACAGGGGGTACCAAAATAAACAAACTGAAAGACCCTCACAACTACTGTGAATTAACATCTAATGTTTTGATATTAATAGTTATTTGATGAAACAATTGATCTTTGTCTTGGTTGCAAAAATATATATTGTTGTAAGTATCAGCATTATTATAAAGATGTTGTTCTGTTTGGTCATGAAAGTTGTGCCGCACAGAGTTTCTATAATCCAGCCTGAATCCAGCCCTCTGATATAATCTAAATATTTTGATCGAAAAATATCAAACCCCCTCCTACCAAGTTTTCAACCCAAACTGAAGGTTTTATCCACACACCTACACACACAAAAAAAAAACTAATTACATGATTTTACAACCTAATTTTAATTTATAACTTTTGTTTTACCTTATTTAAATACATGACTTCTGAATCACCAAATTCCAAGATATGGCTTTTGGACTATCAAATCTAAGGATAAAACTTTGAAATGATTTTATTTCAAGATATAACTTTGAAGCCACCATACTTAAAGATACAACTTTTGAACTATCACAATTTAGTATATAGTTTTTGAACTACTCAATTTCATAAAATAAAACTAATGAACTATCCATTTTAAGATGGGGACTTTTAACTACCCAATTTCAAGATATGATTTATGATTACTCAGACCTAGGAGATTACTGTCCATAATGGTGGTTATCAACTTTTTTCCAGTCAGGACAGACTCAATAACAGCAGTGACACAACTTAAGCCACAGAGCCAGGCAATAAAACTGTGACCCACTCCAAAAGAGTGAGATGGTCCCTTATAGTTTTTCTTTATCTACAACTGCCCTACTGAAAAATGTGCCCTAAAAATGATCTGGTAATTCCATTGGGGTTAGGACCTCCAATTGTTGACAATTACTGTCTGAAATTGTTTGAAACTAAAAAGCCAACAGACATGCATCACAATATCAGTAATGTCAGAAACTTAAGTCACTAAGCTACAGATCTGAATCCAAAAGTTATGCTCTGAAGTAAAAATCATAGTTTTTTTTTTTTGTAGGTGCATAATTGAAGATGAAACATTGAAGTCAAGAAAATGAATCCAATAACTTTTGTTTAACATTTTTTCCTTAACTTTCATGACTTTCCAAATTTACCTGTTTTACCGTCCAAAAAGGGCCAAAGGTTGTTTAAGTGTAGCCAGAGTGAGATTTGCTATTGCTTATGGATAGTAACCTTGAAGCCTTGACTCTTGCTCTATAGCTGACACCATTTTCAAACTTGGAGCACGTCATGCCCATATTAGAACAAAGATGGTGTAGCTGGTGAGAGCTTAATTATTTGCTGGCTAATAAGCTTGGTAGTGACACAATCACATAACGAAATTCTATTTTTAGATGAGTGTTTTCTCAATCGATTATAGATTAAAGAAGTGAATGAAGATTGAAAAGGCGGAGTATGGGGTGAAATAATACTACAGACCTAAAGAACTGGATTACTACTCACTTTAACTGACCATCTTTTCTGCTGAAGGGCCAAAAACAGTCTAAACGACCACTGATAATTCAGCCTATGACAAACAATGAATGACTTACCTAACAGAGTATAGTGAGCAGATGGATACTTACTAATAAGTGCTAACATGTAAATTAAATAAAAGTAAAAATTTGGATGACTGGATGTAAGATCTGGGGCTCAGATTTGTTTAGTAGTCTAACAGACTGTTTGTCTGATGTTTACTTAAAATAATCCTAAAAAGGCTCCAACACCTCAAATATGGCTTTGAAGTAAAGTTCAGTACCTGCATCAGCTGAGGTGACACTGAGCAGCTGTCACTCAAAGAGGTCATGTCCTTATTTATACATAACTTTAACCCCACAAAGAATTGATCTTTAAAGACCGAAATTGTTTTGTACCAGGCTGTAAATATGTTTATACCTGCTGTAAATGGACATTTTAACATAGGGCTCTACGGGGACTGACTCACTTTTGGATGCAGCCTCTGGTGGACACTAGAGAAACTGCACATAAATGTTTGCCTCTTTTTTTTTCGGTGGTGGAGGCTGCTGTTTGTTTCAAGCAGATAAACATGGACTGTAGTGACCATATCCTTTAAAATACTGAACTACTATCTCAGTGTTTTAATGGAGGTGAAAGGTTTCTAATTGTTAGTGTTTCTGATAAGAGTGAGACAAGCTGGTTTTAAAGGTGAGTGGGTGGAGAGTTTACTGTGTGTGAGTGTTACTTGTGTAAAAATTGCACCGGTGTAATCAGTTTTAGAACAAACATCAACAACTACATGACTTGACTCTAAGTTTTCTGGACTTTAATCTGAAAGGTTCAGGTCTGCACTTGAGGCTAAACACACCTCTGAACATAAAGACATAGTTTTTCAGAAAGCTGTCAAGATTTTATTATCTGATAAGAGGCAGAAGATAAGTGTAAGGTGTGACTTTGACCTTTGCCATGAAATAAAAATTCATCAGGAAAGCATCTGTGGGGATTTCAGACCGCCGGCTAACAAGAACCCATCTCTGTGGGAACCTCGTTCCCAAAGAAACAGACAGCCTGGGGACGCTGAACCATGAGTGACACATTCTGATGTAACATGATGTTGGGAGAAAAAAAAAGATGCTAACTGGGAGACAGTGCCTTTTATTTGCTCTTAATAGTTAACATGCTGGGTTCTTAGGATCAAATACTTGGTAAAAACCTGTGTAGAATTGACAACATAAAGGAAGGGAGAGTCTCTACACTGGATTTTGGATACCAAATCTATTTTTAACACAGCCGAGACCTGTATTGACCAATAACATCAGCTCCTCTCCTCGCCTTTAAATCCGCCACCAGCGAGACGTATTTCTATCTTCGTGAAGTAGTCAAAGAGATCAAGAGATGTCTGAAGACAGTAATGCCACACGATGGCGACAGAAGGCAGCCACTGAACAAGTGTCGCTGTAAACGCTGCAGAGGGCGTCCTCCACACTCTCTCATATGAGCACAGATGGATTTGGTGTGTGTAATGTTGGACCCACTGGTAAGACAAACACCCTTTTCCACAAATAAAGACACTCACATAAAGTTGCAGATATTCAAACCTCACGTGACAAAGGTGGGTTGTGCGCACAGATCACAACATAAACTCCAATAATGGCATTAAAATTGGAACCTCATCATGTGTGTTTATTTACTAGATATTTAATTTAATTTAATGCGGTTTCAGCTGTGCCAAATGCACTCATCAGATCAGATATAGATCAGAATATATCTATATAGCTCTAAATGTATGTGCTGACTCAGATTAATAGATGTTGATGATTATTTATGGCACTGAAATGTGCCTGACACTGTGGAAACCTGCCGGTGAGGCATCAGTGACGTATGTCGATACGCCACAGGTCTACCAAAATACCACTAGACCAGCTGCGCTCCGCCTGCGCTGAAAGCTGACCAGGTTTGAATCGGCACGCTTTCGGCGCACTTTATACGCCACCGGCGAGCACGAAAATGTCAGAACAGCTGATTCTGTCGACACCTCCCTCTGCCACGCCACCACGCCCAGCTTGGCGGACCTCGGTGTGCCTCAGTCTACGAAAATACCAAACTGACTTTACGCCGGGCTCCGCCAGACGAAAATACCACTGCGCGGGGTCTGCCACCCTCTGCTGCCTCACCGGCGGACGCGAATATAGAACCCATGCAGTTCTGTATTTAGATGTGGTCAATGCACCAGCTGTAAGAATTCAAAGAAGGCAGCGTACAAATAATTTGAATGAATAGACCAAACAGCAGCTTACAGTTTTGAAAAATAAAGCTGAGGCTGAAATGCTAAAACTGCAGTACCCTGAGTGTCCACTGGAGGCTGGCTGCAAATGCCCTTGGAACCACATCCATCCATTCAACAAAGCGCCTAAAGGAAAATAAACGTTCACAGCCTGGTACAAACATCAACTGCTCTAAGTAATTTATTTCTCTCTCTGTGCACACTCTCATTACTGATATTAAGATTACAATTAGGGTGCAGCTAACTTGACCGAGAGGCTGGCACAGACCCGGCGGCATGGGCGGGCATTGGGGGGGCCATGCCTGCCCACCGAGTCCTGAACTAAAAGCAACATTTCCTATTAATTTGATTTGGGGCTTGTTTTTTCCGTCAGAGTAGTCATCTTCAGTTAATGTCATCTATCCTATCATCTTGACATGTCAATCAATCCAACCAATCCAATCGATCAAAGGCAACGTGTTAGCCAATTACAGATAAAGAGGGGCGGCCCACTTACCGAGTTAAAGTACAAATATTCATAGTTGGACGCGGTGCGTTGGAAGGTGGACTCGCTGGTAAGCATAGAAAAAATGGCTACAAGAGGTTTTTTTGTTTGTCAAAAAAGGACGACTAACACTGACGGGACCAAAGCCAACTGTAGTAAACATTCATGCTAGTGGAGGGAGCAACAGCAGCTAGGGAGCACCAGGAGCAGCAGTGAGACCCTCCTGCCTGAGTGATGACGTTGACGTTGTGAATAACAATACTTTACTGCAGCTTCGTGGTAACATTACAGCTGCAAGGAACAGCAGCAAGACAGCCAGTGACCTTGGCACAGAAAAGCCCCAAAGACCACTTCTGCAGAGCTTTTCCTTTGGGCCTTTTCTCAGGGAAAAAATGTCATTCTGCAGTTCCTAGTATGGAAGCTTTCCCTGGCTGGAGTATTCAGTTCAAGCAGATGCTGCATACTGCTACCCATGCAGAATGTTCCGGTGTGACTATTGGCTTGGTGCTTAGTTTCCTAGGAGTGGAGCTGTGTGGCCCTGCTTTCTGAATGCCCCTGGCCTCTGTTTTATTGATAATAAATGAACACAGCACTACAGTTACAACTGTATTTTGTTTTATTTATTTATTTATTTTTTAAGATGAAATGCCTCTTGTTACTGAGAAAAAATAACATTTCAATACTGTAGGAGTGGCCACGGAGGTGCCGTTAAGCTTGAAGCATATAAAATACAGGTTTGTGTGCCCCCCCCTGAAAAGATGTGATGCCCCCCCCCCACCCCCCCCACCCACCCCATTTGTTTCTGCAGCCAGGTCTGGGCTGGCACACTAACTGTTAGCAAGGAGGCTAAAGGCCAGCCTCAGCCCTCTGTTTCTTATATGTCAACTAGAAGTCAGGTTGAGTCTGCATTTCCAATAAGGCAACTGCTATCGGTATGCTTCACA